CCCCTCCGCAGCCTTTGGCGGTGCTGACGTGCCCCCTCCGCTGCCCCCCAAGTCTCCCCACCTGCTGTCACAGTTCCACAAGCCAAGCAGCATCCAGTCGCTGCCGCTCCCACCCACCCCCGGCCAGCCTCAGCCCGCAGCCGCGGCAGAGACCAGGAAGAAGAGACCTGGCCGAGGTGCAGGTGAGAGCAGCAAGTCAGAAGGAGGGAGGCTTTTTGCTCCCTTTGGCAAAACTGGGAGAAATCACACAGCGGTTCGTGTTGGAAGGGGACCTTGAAGAACTAGATCATCTATCATCCCAAACCATGGCACTGGTGACTGGAGGGCTCGGCGGGGTGGGAGTGAAGAGCACACATGGGAGGAATACCTGTAGGTTACACGGCGTGTCATGAACACCCAAAACATCAGGCTTTTTGAGCTGTCAGGCTGTTCTTAGCACTGGGCACTCACGTCTTATAATTCAATCTGCAATTCTTGGAAGTGACATACTGATCCGAAGTTTTAGAACCACTGAGTTGCTTCTTGCTTTTGTTGTGTCTCCAGCCACATGAGTGGTATCCTGATATGATAGGCTCAGGTACGGCAGCACAGTACACACCACGGTGTGTGCCAGGATGACAGCTGCTCATGTGCCAGCTAACCCAGGACATCCCTCTACAGCTGTGTACCCATGCAGGAGCAATATTGGCAATTGATGGGAAGATTTATAAGAGATAATTAAACAAAAATGGGGCAGCTACAGCCATAGATGAGCAAAACCAAATCTGGATGCAGCCCTGCTGTTCCCACGATGAAAGTGGAAGGGCCAAAGGTTTCTCTTATTAGATAAGAAGTGGGGTATTAGCCAGTGTTTCCTTGAGCGGATGGTAGAAGGAACTGTTACTGGATTTCTCTGATGTCATGAAGATGATAAAAAAGATGAGTCTAGATCTGTGTGGGTTTGAGAAATGGAGATAGCTACTTAATAAGGAACCTTTGAAGAGAATGTTCTGTACCCTGTATTTTAGCAGCCACATGTCAGGAGAAAGATTACTGGTTCCATTGAGAGCCACGGGAAAGGCCGTGTAAGTACAGCAGATCAGGTGCTCTGTGATGGTGATTAATGCTGCTCAGAACTGTCTGATGGACTATTACTTCATCAAGATGCCTATTTCTCATGGTGGTTCAACTTTTGCAGTTTCCATAAAATTATCCTGCCTTTCCCTGGCTTGTCTAGAAGAAGAAGCAGTTTTGAAAGGCTGCTAATTTGGAGGCCTAGGGCTCCCTCCCTCTTACACAGTTCTGGTCATAGGTTTGCCTCAATGTAAACTTCAACAGCACTTGCAACTCCTCAGTGAAATGCACAAGCCTAATGGTAATTCCACTGCATAAGTGCCAAAGTGTCAGGAAATTATTTTCTTTTTGACAAACCATCTAGTTTTGTTGTTTTGTTGATTTTCTTTTCTTAAAGAAACTGCTTGTTCTTTTGTCCAGACTGGGACAAAACCACACTTCAGAATGTGACACTTTCTCTAGAACTAGAAATGGAAAGCCCGAGCCAACTCCAATAGTGACTTAAATTTAATACTTAATGCTATAAATCCATGGGCAGGCTTGACAAACAGCAGCTCTGAAGCTGGGTGTGTTTGCCCCAAATACTGCATTCCTTCAACACTCCCTCCACTTTTTGCAAAGTTTACTGTCAGGTGTAAGCCATGATGATGTTTATGTACTGTTTTCCTGCTTCTTTTTAAGGAACCGGTGCTGGGAAGCTGGTCACACCCCCACAGCCACCAGCAAGATCCCCAACAACTGAACTCACGAGCAAGTCTGGAGTCTCAACCTGGGCTACAGCTCATGACCCCTACTCACCACTCAAAAATGGAAATATGCACATCCTTGGTAATATCATCTAAATTAGATCTCTTAGCCTTAGTTAATAATTTTAGTAAAAAAGCCTGTGTGTGTCTCACACCTCAAAAGCTTGAGACTTTCTCCTAGCAATAACAGGGTTGTGTAATAAAAACATTCTTGTACAACCTTATACAATCATAGAAAATTAAGGCTTTTTCACAAAGGGTTTGAATCAGTCAGTAGAAAAGAAAAGCATATAACTCTTGCAAAATTATTTAAGAATATGAAAAGTTCCTGCAGTGTGCTTATATTACTGTTCTTAAAACCAGATCGTGGACGTTTAGTAGCTTCAATCCTACAGAGCAAAGACCACTAAGACTTTTTTTTGTGGTCTGATGAATTGGCTGTTCATTCTTGTTTATAGCTAAGTGGCTTAAAACCCACCAAGGAATATCTCTATTACCGCAATACCATCAATGCACAAAACTGGAACAGAAGACAGAAGCTTAACTTCAGTTTTAGTAGCAGGCAGTGACTGCAATTAAGGCAGAAAATCTGGATGGCTCACAGAAGTACTCATCAAGATGTTTTATATGGAATAAGCCACTATCAGTTCCAGGAGAAAACAAGTCAGCATTTTTAATTGAAATTACTTGCAGCAACATTGTTGAGTTTTGTTGTTTGTTTGTTTTTTAAAGTTTCTTTCTAAGAGCAACTAATGTTTACTTCCCTGAAACTTTCCAGATGACTTTGAGTCTAAATTTACTTTCCATTCTGTGGAAGATTTTCCCCCACCTGATGAATTCAAGCCGTTTCAGAAAATATATCCCAGCAAGATAGCTAGAGGTAAGTGTGTAAACATGAAAAGATACAATAATTATCAAGAAAGAGGATTAAAAATGGGGAGGGAAAATAAAGAACAGAACCAGCATTAAAGTAACTGGGCTGCTAGCATAGGCACAGAGAGAAATGGGATTTGTCACAGTGGCAGCAGGGACCACAGATATAACGAAAAGCACTTAATTAATTACTTTAAAGACTTAGTAGCTAAAAATAAAATGTGGCTGGACAGGCAGCCTCTATTTTTTAGACTGCTGAATTTGCAAAGCCCTTGATGTTACAGTGATGCTGTAAAACAGACTTGGCCATCTACTGAGTTGGAGTTTTGGTTCATTAACTTGTGAAATCACAAAAACAAAGTGACTCGATTCCATGTCTTCCATCATGTGTTTTGATTTAAATCCTATACATGGTGTTTTACACACCTGAGTAACAAAGGGACTTAATACCTGAACCTCGTCAGGAAAGTGATAAATGGCTAAACCTTCTTTTTTACTTCTCCCCCTATAACTTAGAAACATGGTACCAGGTCACTGTTGTAAGAGCAGAAGTTCACCTATCCAGCTTTGACAATGGGTAGTTGAAGATGCTGAAAGATCTCATGCCCATATTCTGCTTTTTATAAACCCCAGTCTTCTGTATTATTAGATCAACTATTTATCTCCACCTCTTAATTAACCTATCATTTGTTTCCCTGCTAAGGTATTTTGCATGACTTGACATCCTCAGTCAGTCTAAACTGTCTGATGTATGATCTGATCAAAGACTTTTTACTGAAGGGTTACAGAGCATGAGCATTATGTTTGTGTCTGTATATATATAGATAAATAGATAGATGATAGGTAGATATCACATTGGGGTAGCCGATAAATGCAGCATTCCTGATGTATAACTGCATCCAAAACACCTATTAAAAAATATATCTTATCTTCTCTGTTTAAATCCGTTCTATCTATTTACAGATCCTTCTAAAAATCCTCCATTAAGAACACACGTGAGATGAGAAGAGTCTACTCGTGCTCTCTGGAAGAGTATTAAAAAAGAACATCAAGATAATATATAAAACAGAAGGGGTCCCCACTGCAGTGATAGCGATTGTATTTGAATCACATGTACTGCAATGTAAACATTTCTATAAACTGGAAAAATTGTGTAAATGATACCATTTTAGCTGGCCTATATACTACAAGAATGTTAGTACAGGCTTTTAAATTATTGTAAATAGGTGGATATTTTTTAAGCAAAGCAGCATAAAATTTAAATTCTTTGTAGTGTTGAAACAATTCTCATTCTTATCATGTTGACAGTGTTATCTCATAATGTTTTGCATTACATGCCTGTATTTCTTTTTTCCCCTTTCATCATAATTTTTAAGTATTTTGGGAATTCTCCAGTTATTATTCAGACATTTTTTCAATCAACTGTCAAACTAATGTTCTACCTTTAGTCTGTTTTTATGTTCCTTCTGCCTATCCTCAGACTGCAGCAGGATGTCACTGTCATGAAGGGATGGGCCCACAATCCTTCTCTCATCAAGCACGAAGAGGAGATGACAAGGAGCTGTGGCTGCTGTTGAGCCTACCTCCTACTGATTACAGATCCTTATAGGATAGTGTCTGAAGAAGACCAGCCTGAGTAGGGTGGTCCTGGACTTGACAAAGATGATAGAACTTCTCCAAAGTAGAGGAAAAGAAAGTTGCTATATTGTAAGCAAAAAAAAAAAAAAAAAAAAAAGGTATGTGTGAATACATATGCCACAATGTATGTATGTCAGGGCACGTGTCCTGTCTTTTCCTGCTAGCAAAGTGGATATTTACTGTCACATTTCTGTGAGAGATTTCCTTTACCGAGCAATTACAAGGCCTTTGGATGAGAGGTCCAAAACCCACATTTTAAACAGGCAACTAGAACTACTGTTGTTCACCCACAGTGAGGATTCATTGTCCAAAGCACATCATGTGGAACAAGCAGTCCCCAAAGTGGTTGTCTTGAATACAGTTGGTTGGGAAAAGTAACAACCTAGCAGCAGACAAGACTTGATCTTCTGCTTTTAATATTCAGCCAGGGCTAAGGCCCTTGGATCACAGATGTTCAGATCTGGTCCTAAGATGTGTGTTTCTCACAAGAGTTACTCTTCCTGTGCATTTCACTGCATTAGGAGGAGTGGTGCCAGGTTGAGGGAGTTGATCCTTCCACTCCACTCAGCACTGGTGAGGCCACATCTGGAGTGCTGTGTCCAACTTCTGGGCTCACCAGTGCAAGGGAGACATGGCCATACTAGTGAGAGTCCTACAAAGGGCTGCAAAGGTGATAAAAGGACTGGAGCATCTCTCCCATGAGGAAAGGCTGAGAAAGCTGGGGCAGTTCAGCCTAGAAAAGAGAAGGCTCAGAGGGGAACTCTTCAATGTGTATAAATACCTGAAAGGAGGGTTTAAAGATGGAGCCAGTTTCTTTTCAGTGATGCCCAGTGACAGGACCAGAGGCAATGGGCACCAACTGCAACAGAGGAGGCTCTGTCTGAACATCAGGAAACATTTTTTGATTATGAAGGTGACTGAGCACTGGCACAGGTTACCCAGTGACATTGTAGAGCCTAAATTCTTAAAGATAAATATATATATATATACTCAAAAACCATCTGTACTTGGTCCTGGGCAACTGGCACTAGCTGACGCTGCTAGAGCCAAGGGGGTTGGACAGGATGACCTCCAGCCATCCCTTTCAGCCTCAAACACTTGATTCCCCCTTCTACAGCTTTTCTGAGTTCCTGCACCTGGGTCACAATAATGCCATGCAACACTACAGGCTTGGAGCAGAGTGGCTGGAAAGCTGCCTGGCACTAAAGGACCAGGGGATGCTCGTTGAGAGCTGGCTGAACATGAGCCAGCAGTGTGCCCAGGTGGCCAAGAAGGCCAATAGTATCTTGACTTGAGGCTCAGGGAAGACCTTATTGCTATAACCTGAAAGGAGGCTGTAGTGATACTGGGGGTCAGTCACATCTCCCAGGACAGGACAAGAGGAAATGGCCTCAAGCTGTGCCAGGGGAGGTTTAGATTGGATGTTAGGAAAAACTACTTCACCGAAAGGGTGATAAGGCATTGGAACAGGCTTCCCAGGGAAGTGGTGGAGTCACCACTTAAATATGTGGAGGTATTTAAAAGATGTGTAGATGTGGCACTTGAGGACAAGGTTTAGTGGTGGATTTGGCAGTGCTGGGTTAACAGCTGGACTCGATGATCTCAAAGTTCTTTTCCAACTTAAAATGATTCCATGATTCACCAACTTGACAAAGGACGCTGCTGTTCCAGGATGAGTCTGGTGCCAAGAGCCAGGTTATTTGCAGTTATGGCAATAATTTATGTAATTGCCACCAATTCCCCTCAGTTACAGCTGTAATAATGTTATAGATCACAGATAATGGAAAAGACAGGTAACTGCAGCTTTATATATCTCTCTTGTAGCAGCTCGGTTGTGTTGTAACTTTATTTCCACACACATAGGTTCATGGTGTGAGACAGTGTAAGAGTAAAAAGTAAAAATTAACTTCACCTGTAAGACTCTAAGAAAGCAGCATTAGCCGTTTTCTAGCCTATTATGATAACCTGCTGTACATCATGGGAATTGAAAAAAAAAATTAGTGATTCTTTGACCAATACTGTCACTGTCATTGTTGTAGTTACTTGATAAATATGCATGAATTTAGTAATAAGCAGGGGTCTGCATATACATTGCTTCTCAAACAACTGGAAAAGTTTAAGAGTGCTTTAAAGACTATTTTGTTATAGTACTATTAAAGGTGATGTTTTGTTGGTTCTCATTTGTTTTGAAACTTGTGTACTGCTCTGTAGTAACTTCATAAGGATTTGAAAACTATTTAATGCTAGACTATCTGCCAGAAGATATTTAAAGGAGAAAAAAACTTTACTCCTTTTGTATTATGCTTCAGGTATTCTAGAAACAAGCAACATCTTTCAGGGATTACATCAGAAATCCTGTGCATATTTGCAAGCACTGGTGAAATGCTATTTCCATATTTTTATCATTCAAGATCCATTGAAGCTTCTGGAGTTGCTCTTACCTGGAGGTAAAGAATCACAGCTGACTGTCACCCTACAGCAATTGGTCCCACACGTCCTATTGAGCCACAGCTGTGCTCAAGACCACTCAAATTGTAAGGCCGTGGGGTTGCTCTGGTTTTTCATGATTGCACCCTGCTATGTTGCTGTAACACAGTATATTTTTTTTAAAAACCCTACATCACTGAAGCAAAAGCAATACAGTATTAGAAGATTACTACCTGGATCTCTGTGCTCCAAACAGTTTATTAGTTCTGTCATATCAGCACTTCCAAGGACATAAACTCCCACAACAATGTAAGTGCAAATGTCAGCTTCTTCTGTCTTAAAAAAACAGGCAAATAAGATATATTACGTTTTTAGTAGGAACACCTTTCATCTTGCCTCCCTCCCAACTCTCAAACATCAGAAATCCAAGTTGTGCAAAATAGCTGTCTGAAGTGACCGTCTGATTGGGGCAGTCATTTTATCCCTGTTCTCCCCTTGTTCACAATATCCACCAACAACTGGATGCAACAACTCACAGAAGCAGAGGCAGCTTTAAAATTCACCGTGGTGTGTGTTAAGTGTACTCTGATTAGGAATATTTTTATTCAAAGTATCCTTTCATTCCAGAAGTGATTCCATGGGAAATCCATTTACTTTACTTACGGGCAGCTGGCAAAAGCACACTTCTCTTTCAGAGAGTTTCATCCAGCACAGTACTCTCTAAAATGAAGTGTGCTCCTTGTAGTCAGTCCCTATCCTGGCTATGGCAGAGAGCAGCTAAGTTTCAGGGTTTACTTGTGAATTTTCTCTTCCCCTTGTCTCCACTTTCAGAATAACCAGGCACAGGAGTTGGTCCTGTAATAGAGAGCATGGGAGGACTGTATTGTGAATGGGAGATTAGTGGGTAGGACTTAAGAAAAAATATCATCATGCTTGTTTTCTGCAAGCAAAAAGGCCAGTGTTTTCTTGTCCAATTGCTAGTTGTCATATAAGGCAATATCAAAGTAATGAGTCTGAATAGAACAATTTCATTTAAAAAATCCTGAGAATGCAGTGCACCAATATGGTAATGACTGCTTCCCTGATGCACAACTCTTACAGTTTCAAGTTGAGGTGTTGCTGCCTTCTAAGGAGCTTTTGCTTCCTCAATACAGAAGTCCATGGTTCTTCAGCATCCACTTTCCTGAACAGTGAAGGATTTTAACTTCCAATTATTAAAGACATGGACTTGTCTGAACCTCCTGTTTAAACAAAAACCCAAACATCTTCATCAGACACGGGAAGCAGCGTTTACTGGTTTAATTCTCAAAGTGTTTGCCCTATTTCACTTCCACAAGAAGAAAATACATGAAAAGCAGGTCTGCCTGTAGGACTGTCGAGGAAGGGAGGCATGCTGCAGAACTGCACTTAATGTAAGGAAGCATAAGACAGCCATTTCTAAGACTAACCAGTTGGATTGCCACACCTACCAGTAACTCACTGGTACTTACATGGATTCATCAGCCATGTATCTCACCACAGAGATAACCAGGAACTGTTCAGCAGTACAAAAGCAGAAAGATGGAGAACAGCCCAGTATTGATCAATGCCTATCATCTATTCCTACAAAACATTCCAAATTTGTAGCTTGCATATAAATTCAACACCTTATTAATTACATCTTAGGAGCCAATAGAATATGTGTAGATGTCTTGGCATCCAGGCTGGCTCTGCATTTCAGAACTCGGTATTAGGGCAGCAGCCAGGTGCCCTAAGCTAAGTGAAGGCAAAACTTAACCTGGGGGACTTGATTCTGATAATTTGTACAGGCATTATGTCAGGTGCTGTACTCAGATATGTCCATTTGAGGCCAGCACAAGGTCGAGAGCCAGGACTTACCCTCCTGCCTGCCTGCAAAACCAGGATTTCAACTCCACCATTTTCTGTATGAATTAGCAAGAAGAGAAAAATGCAAGTCAGCTTTGCGGCAAGCCTAGTCCTGAGCAACGGAGGGAAAAACAGATTGCTTTCAAAAATTATATGGAAGTTAGCCCGATGAAGTTAATCTTTGCTTTAATTGGTTGCCCAACATACACATTTAAACATTCTGTACTAAATTAGCCAGCATGCACACAGTAATTGGACCAGTCAGTGACTTTCTCCTTTCACTATATACATACACAAACAGAAACACCACAAGATTGGACAAAGGAAAGCAATTTGTTAACCGGATACAGCTAGCAAGTAACATTTTTTCCTCTAGAAATGTTTTTTTCCTGCAAATTCACAAGTGTGAAGACTTTCTTTCAAGGCTTGAAGAACATTGCAGTCTTCCAGTGAATAGGTTAACAATAGCCACCATAGCTGAAATGAGATAAAATTTGTTGAAGATCCATTCCAAGCAAGAGTGAAATTGAAAAAACAGTTGTCTGCAATGCAGCATAGGGAAAAGGGACTTAGGAGACAATTGGAGCAGCTAGAAAGGTGGCTTTGGACCCGATTCTGAACACCCTTAGATTAATATAAAAGAGAAGGAGGAAATGCAAAATTGGATCCAATATTTCTCTGGTACCAAAAACTTAGTATCTGAAGAATTAAAATGTTTGCTTACTTTATTTGAAGAACTTTAGTTCTGTGTCAACACAGTCATAGAAAAGATCCACTACTTCAGCAGGATCCAGAATCTCTGTA